CAGTCTACGAGGTTCTTGATTTTTCCAACTACTTAATTTGGGAGAACTTTTCATTCCGGTTCTTAAAGGGCATCAATTTTTTGTCTTTGTTGATGGTACAACTCCTTGTCCTCCTCTTGGTGATCCTGAAAATGGGTTCAGATTGATTCTCTCGTCCTCTCTTAGATTCAAGCCACTCTCTCCCGTGAGATTTTGCGTAATATTATCACTCCGGGTACTTCTCTTACTGCTCAATCTACTTGGAAAAAGATTGAAAAGATTTTTCGTGATCATGTTGAGTCTAGAATTGTTCCTCTTCGTCAGGAATTTTATCATTGTGAAAAGAGTGATCTCTCTATGTCTGCTTTCTTAATCGTCTGAAAGAATTGTATGATTGTTTGGTCTCTATCGGTGATTCTATAACCTATCGTGATGTTGTCATGCAAGTTGTTATGGGATTGGGTCCTGAATATAATGCAGGCACTTCACAAATTTTCGCTCAAAACCCACTGCCGACTTTTGATGAGTGTCGATCGTGGCTTCTGCTTGAAGAAGCCAAATTGGCAAAACAACATCAGAGAGCCACGGCGGGTTCGGCCTCTTCTCAAGTTCTTGTTGCTCAGTCGGTTTCTTTGCCGAATGTTATGTCTGTTCCTACTCATGCTGCTGCTCCTTCTGAGTATTCTTTTTCATCTAGTGGACGATGTGGAGGTGGTCGTCATGGAGGAGGCCGTCGTGGAGGTGGTCGTGCAGGCTGGCAGCAACTGGGCTTTCGTCCGAATTTTCCTGCTTCTTCGATTCTTGGTGCACCTCCACCTTATGCGAGTCTGATGCCTGCACTCCCTCAATTCCAGCATTCTGTCCAATGCTACACCTATCACGGTTTGGACATGTTGCCTGGTTATGCCCTTCTGTTGTCATGAACACGAGTTCCTCTACTCCGACGTTTACTGCATATCCGGCTTCCTCTCAACCTGCTACTCCATGGCACTTTGACTCCGCTGCAGGAGCAACTGTGACGAATGACTCTGGTAAGCTTACCAATTTATCACCGTATTATGGTCCTGATAAAGTGTGTTTTGGCTATGGTGCTTTGCTTCCTATTGAATCCCTTGGTACTTCCAGTATATTCACTTCTAGTCGTTCTTTAGCTCTTAATAATGTTCTTTATGTCCCATCTCTTACTGAGAATTTAATCTATGTTCGTCGTTTTACTACTGATAATCATTGTTCTATAGAATTTGACCCTTTTGGTTTTTATGTTAAGGATCTCACCATGAAGACGCAACTTCTTTGGTGCAATAGTTCTGGCCCTCTCTATCCTTTCGTTGATTGCATTACCTCCTCTTCAGTTCCTGCCTTATCTGCACATCGGTCCACTTCCCAAATTTGGCATCGTCGATTAGGTCACCCTGGCCAGCGTGTTTTGACCAACTTAATAAATGCTTCTCTTATTTCTTGTTCTAGTTCTACTTTAGATTTGTGTCATGCTTGTCAACTAGGGAAACATGTATGTTTACCCTTTGAGTCGTCCTTGTCTCGGGCTACTGCACCTTTTGAACTTATTCATTCTGATATGTGGTTTTCTCATGTTGTCTTTCCTACTGGTTATAAATATTTTGTTACTTTCTTGGATGATTATACACATTATTGTTGTGTGTTTCCTCTTCGCTCCAAATCTGATGTTTTCTCTTGTTTTCATAACCTTTATGCTCATGTCCAAACCCAATATAATGCTGTCATTTGTAATTTTCAATGTGATCAAGGAGGTGAATATGAAAATAATTCCTTCTTGCAGTTCTTTCAAACTAATGGCATTCACCTCCGCTTGTCTACTACTGCTTGTTCTCAACAAAATAGTAACGCTGAACGTCTTAATCGTAGCATTGTCAATATGATTTGAACTCTTTTATTTCAGGCTTCTATGCCTCCTCTTTTCTGGGTTGAAGCCCTTCATACTGTCATCTATCTCTTCAATCATCTTCCCACTCCCCTATTACACAATAAAACTCCTTATGAGGTCCTCCACCATAAACTTCCATCATATGATCACTTACGCACTTTTGAGTGTGCATGCTATCCTAATCTTTCTAATACCACTCATCATAAGTTAGCACCTCGTTCTACTTTGTGTGTTTTTCTGGGATATCCTTCCCACCACAAAGGCTATCGTTGTCTTGATCTTACTACTAATAAGGTCATCATTTCTCGTCATGTTGTTTTTGACGAGAACATCTTCCCTTTCACTCTCCTTTCTTCGTCTAGTTCTTCATTTAACTCTCCTTTTCGTTACAGTTTGTTGCACATTCCAACTGTTCTTTCTCCACCTACTTTTTCTTCTATCTCCTCGCCTATTTCACCTTCAGTAAATCCTTCCTCTCTTCCGAGTCCTCCCTCTTCAGTCGTTTCCCCTAGCTCGGAGCCTCCTCTGTCTTCTTCCACTCCTTCCCTCCCTTAGGTTCATCTCATGTTACTTTTCATCAACCTATGGTTACTCGGGCTAGGGATGGTACTCGAAACCCCAAGGTGATTTTCAATTTAACTAGTACTATTGCTGACTCTCCTTTGCAGGCTCCCACCACATATCCCGAGGCTTATAAGTTTGATGAATGGCAGCAAACAATGAATGATGAAATTGTTGCCTTGTCTCGCAAGAATACTTGGACTCTTATTCCTAAACCTCCTGATGTTGATGTGATTGGCTCGAAATGGGTGTTTCAGGTCAAAGAAAAGTCTGATGGTTCCTTGGATCGCTACAAAGCTCGTCATGTTGCTCAGGGGTTTTCTCAGCGTCCTGGTATTGATGTTAGTGATACTTATAGTCCCGTGGTTCGCGTTGCCACCATTCAGACTGTCCTCTCTCTGGCTCTTTCACGTAACTGCCCTATTCATCAGCTTGATATCAAAAATGCATTTCTGCATGGCCTTTTGAGTGAGCCTGTAGACATGAAACAATCACCTGACTTTGTCCATCATCAGCATCCGGACTATGTGTGTAAGCTCAATCATGCTCTTTATGGTCTCAAGCAAGCATCTCGTTCCTGGTTTCACCGGTTTGTTTCCTTTATTGCTTCGCACAGTTTTTGTTCTTCCAAGTCCAACTCATCTATGTTTATTTATCGTCGTGGTGCAGATATGGTTGTTCTCTTACTATATGTTGATGATATTATTCTTACTACCTATTCTGCCTCCTTGTTAGCATCCATTATTGCTACTTTACGGAAGGAATTTGCTATGACTGACTTGGGTGACCTACATTACTTTCTTGGTATCTCAGCTACCCGTACTTTTGATGGTCTCTTTTTGTCTCAATCCAAGTACATAGCCAATTTATTAGATCGTTGTCAGCTTTCTTCGGCAAATTTGGCTCATACACCTATTGACAGTAAGAGTAAGTTATCTCAGACTGACGGTGATTTGTTTCCTGATCCTTATGAGTATCGCAGCATTGTTAGAGCTCTTTAGTATATCACTTTTACTCGTCCCGATATTGCTTATGCGGTGCAACAAGTTTGTCTTTTCATGCACGAGCCTCGTGAACCTCATTATACGGTAATCAAACGTATTCTTCGCTACTTGAAGGGTACTCTTCACTATGGCCTCACTCTCTAGCCTACTTCGCTTGATCAGCTTGTGGCTTATTTTGATGCTGATTGGGTTGGTTGTCCTGATACTCGACGTTCCACATCCGGCTACTGTGTCTTCTTGGGTGCTAATCTTGTTTCCTGGTCCTCCAAATGGCAACCCATTGTTTCTCGTTCCAGTGCTGAGGCTGAGTATCGGGTTGTTGCCAATGCGGTTGCTGAGCTTTGTTGGTTGCATTCGTTACTCTCAGAGTTATCTCTTTCTTTGCCCACCGCCACAGTTATGTTTTGTAATAATGTTAGTGTCATTTCATGTCCACTAACCCTGTTCAGAATCTCCGCACGAAGTATGTTGAGATTGACATTCATTTCGTCTGCGAGAAGGTGGCTCAGGGTGCTATCCGTGTTCTTCATGTTCCCTCTTCTCGTCAATTTGTTGATATCATGACGAAAGGCTTACCTAATGTTTTATTTACAGATTTTCGTACCAATCTGAATGTCCGTTTACCTCTCGTTCAGATTGCGGGAGGATGTTAGTGTATGTATATGTTAGGGTTAGTGTAGGGACATTGTTGTAATTCTACTGTAATCATGTACACTATATATCTGTTGAATCAATACAGAATAACCGTACACATCTACAACCAAAGCGTTATTGAGTAGGGAAAGAATTTGATTATGAAAATTATATCTCTATCAAGAGTCACGTTTTGGAACAGGTTGTTTGGCATCTCTGATTTTGTGTGGAGCTAAATTGTCGCCATGAGTTTTCACCAAGGAAGTGTTGTAGGTCGGTTTGATAGATTTTGCATCCTTCGTTGAACAAATAAATAAATCCCTTTAATATGACCGATCTTCAAATTACAGAAAACATTGTTTAGTTCCAACTATTTGGTTTCTTCTTCTCCTTCTTTATCTATTTTCTTTGTCTTTTTTTTTGGCGTGACCAAAAAATATATGTATAAGGAATAGTCGACTAGTCTAATTTGAAATAATTCTTAAAATATAGGAGTATGAAATTCGGCGAGCCATATGCATAGTTTTTCTGACTTCTGAGATGTGGGTATCCATTGCATTGATATTTTATATGGTATTCAAAAACTAAAAAATAATTAAAAAAAATATACAAGAGTATGTCTATATACTAAATTATTAATACTGTAATTACCTCAAACATAATTAATTTATATATTTATATGATTTAAATTAATATAATAATTTATTTTTTTTAAAAAAAAGATTTTGAATCAAGAAAGCCCAAAGAAAAATTATGGATATAATAAAAATCCTCAAATAGAAATCTGATATCCATCTAACAGTTGAAGCATAAATATTTGGTGGACACTTCATATCGTAAGCAAACTGTGTTTGGAGCACAAAAATGCCTTGTATTGTGATGCTCACAACCTTAATGTGAAAATTGCCGATCAACAATACATCTGATAGAATAGAGGCTGCTAATCTCAATCTGGTGCAAATTTGATCACTTAACTAAAGTACGTTGTCTTAACAGAAAGAAGTGTCATTATCTGCCACCAGATAAAACGGATTCTGCAATGAAGGATTCCGACAGTAAATAAACCTCCTCTCCCGGCGGCGACGATTGCGAAATTTCTAAATCAAAGCTAGCAGTAGTAGAATCTCGACCACCAACGAATGCTAAGCCGGTGGCCGTAATACCAAGAGACGGCAAATCCGTCAGCACCGCTACTCCTTCCAAGTAGAGCACAACTTGCCGCATACTGGGTCGGGCCGTCGGTTCTGAATGAGAGCACACCAAGCCCAGCTTCAACACCAGTTCAATCTCCTCCTTCATGTAGTTATCTCCCAATTTCGGATCAACAGCTTCCAAAATGTCGCCTCGAATCCAACAGGAAAACACCCGATCAACCAATATATCATCCTCCGGCGATAATGCTGTCTCAATTGGCCTTCTCCCACAGGCAACCTCCAGCATGAACGCCCCGAATGCATACACATCGGCGCTCGTGGTCGCCTTGCCGGTCCGGTTAACCTCAGGGGCAAGATACCCGACAGTACCCACCACAAGAGTAGTTTGAGGGACGGTGCCGTGATCATACAATCTTGCTAGGCCGAAATCACCTAATCTTCCATTCAATTCACCATCTAACAATACATTACTGGCTTTGACATCTCTGTGAATTACTACTTGTTCCCATTCTTCATGTAGATAGAATAGTCCAGATGCCACACCCTTGATTACTTGAAATCTGACGTCCCAATCCAGAGTGAATTCAGGCTGGTTGTAGAGAAACTTGTCAAGACTTCCATTAGGCATGAATTCATACACCAAAAGTAACTCCCCTTTGCGCCGACAATAACCCAAAAGAGGCACGAGATTTCGGTGTCGTAAACGGCCAATGCTGACAATCTCGGCAATGAATTCCCTGATTCCCTGTTTTGAATCATGAGACACTTTCTTAACCGCAATCTCCATTTTAGTCGTTCTCAATACACCTTTGTAGACCTTTCCAAATCCTCCTGCGCCTAGAAGCTCTGTTTCCTTGAACCCTTTAGTCGCCATGTACAAATCCTTGTACCTAAACCTGTGTGGTCCGTAGGCAAGTTCCCAATCTTCCATCACTTCGGCAAACTTTCTGTTCATACCAACGATATAAAACATAACTGATAATGCAATTGCCAAGGAAGCAACGCATATCAGGGGTAAACCGATAGTGAAAAATTGAGAAACTTGCTTGGATCCAACTCGAGGAAGTCTAGGAAGACGTGAAACATCTAGACCTTTAGCAATGCCATTCATCTGAAAACTCCATCCTAGAATGTAATGAGACGTGGGTCTGGAACCAGTGGATGAAGAAAACCCAACGTACATTGTCCGTTTAAGTATTGGCGAAAGATCATATGGCAGCGTTAACAGAGGAGTGTTTGGTTTGTCTTCTTTTAATGGAGCTAATGAAACATTGATTTGTTTATCCAAACCATCATATTCCACCCAAATTTGGATCAACTGGCCACTGGTGAGAGATAAATCATAGGTCGAACCATTGCTTGCCTGATATCCTGCTGGCTTTGATGCTACGGAAATCAAGCTGTTGACATCAATGCCAACATGGTTGTTATCGATATCAGCAAAGTCATTGGTCTGATCCGTGTCGAGCTCCACCCCAAAAACATGGTTCGTGGCGTTGCCGTTGTTGCTTTCATTAAACACCCCGAGGAACCGCTTCGATCGAGCTCCTGGAAGGCCTCTTGTCGGCGCGATCACGAAAACAATGCCGTGACCACCAGCCAAAGTTGGAAATTGAGGGACCATTGCAAATACAAAGTATGTGGAAAAGGAGAAAACTGAGGCTGATTCAGAAGATGTGTTCTTGAAGTTGATCGGACTTGGGAGAAAAACATGTCCCATTTCGCCGAGATTTGATGATGCTTTGGTATCAGTGAGCTGCAGGAGGCCATTTCCGGTGATTCTGGCAGCTCCATCGAGGCTTAGATTGGCAGATTGAAATCCGTTGTAGCTGAAACCAAAATTATTGGTGGAAGAAACAGAAATCACAACATTGGACACCAATATAAACGCCAATGTACATGAAATCAATGACATATCTCAGATCAGAATTCTCTTTTCTTTTTTTCTTTTTTTTTTTTTCTTTTGCCCCACCCTCGTGATATGTATAGTTCATTTTGGCTCGAACTCCATTAGCCGCTCTTAAATACTCTACTAACGAAGTTGAAGAAGACATCTCTCTACAATTTCTTTTGCCTCAGACGTTACATCCCACTTGGCTTGTTGACGTGAGTGCATTAAAATGCTGGACGATTTCAATCAAGTTTCTGGGTAAATTTGATAGTGAGTTATACGAAAAACACAAACAAAACAGAGTGGAGAACAGAAAGCATCGTGACTTTAAGTGAAAGGCCATATCTGAATTTGTACTATTATTTGACGGACTTTACCAGGTAAACAATCAAGCGGGAAATCGACATAACAATTGCTGAGTGTGGGATAAATGCAGGGGTCGCGAGATAAAATCATTGAAAATCTCCCCACTATATATACTCACTAAAATATCGAACCTCACTTGTGGAATAATCCGATTCAAATTTGATGCTGCTGGTGTACCAACTTTGGAAAATCCCAGTAAATTTACATGGAACTGGGCTTTGTTTTCTGGACTTCTACAAAACGACCAAAGTCTAAGGTAACAAATTTGGAATGCTTTGGTCCAGGATGTAGCACTATAATATTGTCCGGGTGGCAAAACAGAAATTAAAAGCAGAATTTAACTATTTTATCAGAAGAAAAGTGCTTGTTCATATGTAGCCAAAATCTTCTTATTATAATAACTTTGTTGTATTTGTAGAGATGACATATTCTGGTAAATATTAATCGGGGAATAATGGATCCGAGTAATGATAGTTTTAATTGATACAAATTATCTATTCTGTTCAAAATCTGCTCCTTATATTAGTAATTTTTTTTTTCTGGGTACAAAATAGGAGTGTAACTGTAACATCCCCTTATTCAAAGTCGTATTTATGAATTTCACTAGTGGATGTTAAAAATTGTTATGGCAAAATTCTCACCCAATTAAAAAAATAGCTGATTTTCCTGCCTTATATGTACGATCTAAATAATTGTAGCATTTTGTATTTTGGGAAAACATTTAATCACGGCATGATTGTTTTTAATAAAATCAGATCATCTAATTACAGAAAATATATGTTACATTAATAAGCATTCTTCAGTTCACGCATGTCCCAGTGCTACATGACACTTGACATGAGAAGAGGTGATGTTACAGGATATTGTAAAATCAAATGCTTTCTTAAAATTAATGACAGGATATTATCATCAAAAGATATTAACTTCCTGAAGTGCAAATAAATCAAAGGAAATCTTCCAAGTCATATTCATGAATCACATGATGCCCACCCATTGCCACAAGTCTAAACTCTAAAAGGGCTAATCTGCGCAGGCAGTCAAGAGAATCTAATCGCCCTTGCCTTAGCAATTGCGGCAAGTAGAACCAATTTTATGGGGTAAAATATTTGCTAAAAGTCATAATCCGCGGCTACAAATAATGACTGGGATTCTTGACGGAATTGTAATAAGTAATAGTAACTTAATTTCTAGAAACTTTATTGGATTCATGAATAACTTGACACGCATCAACGATGGTGTTTCAAAGTTCTCTATATACGTGTTTGCCAAATGGTTTAGCTAAAACAGTAATAAATTTATAAAATTATAGTTTTGTTTAAAACTATAGTTTTGTTTCATGTACAAAATTACCATGACTTTTAGATTTTTTTTTTATTTTTATTTTTTTGTATAATGGAAGAAGACATGATGTCTAAAAGTCTGGACGATTACACAACATAAGTAACACCAACTATATTATGTTGTAATCATGGCTTTAGCTCATCCGAGACTTCAACAAGCCGATTCAGTCCGCCAACACTTAACGCTGCCAGTGATGCTAAGGAATCAGCTGCAAAGTTCCGTTCCCGATAAATGTACTCCAGTTGTACAGACCAAGTTCTGCACAACATTTCACGAATGGCGAAAACCAAACCACGATGCACTCCAGTAAGGGCCTCCTCGCTCAACACCATATTAACAACACTTAATTGTCAAAAGTGAGTTTTTTTTTTTGTCGTCCTGGTGTTGTTTTGTTGAGGTAATACAGTAAGGTTTCCTAATTCCTTGGTAAATATACAAGGGGCATCAGGAAATATGCATGGAATATATCCATAGAAAAATTATTCTATGTACTTAGTGTATCATATTCTATAGTACATCAAGTCAATCACAATAAAGATTATTATTATTATTATTATAATTTTGTATCAATGAATTCTAACCAACCCCTGACATTACGGGTTCCTCCAATACTATTAACCGTAGGTTTAAAAAGTAAAAACGGGTGTACTAAATAATTTATCCATAAGGGTGCACTAATTATTCTCCAAATTTTTGTATATTGATACATCACAAACTAAATAAATCACGGCAAACCAAAATATGGATGGATAAACTGATTGGTTGCAACGTTTGGAGGGTCGGTGGGTCACCACATATTTCAACATCAATTGAAACTTCAAAACTGATTTTTCAATAAAGTAGATTCCATAACAAAAAAGAGAATTGGAAAAACTAGATTGAAGTTGGACTTCGACATCACTGATCACGTATAAACAACATACACCATTGACCCTACCCAATCCCGTCTCAACATGTTTAGGAGAGAGGGAGTGGTTTTTCTTTCTTTCTTTTTTCTTTATAGAAATCAAAGTTGAATCATTTGTATATAAGGTTCTCTAAACAGTATCGTTGTTTAATCAAAGTTAAATCACGGAATATGCAAAAATGAAGTCAATGCAGTCCGGTAATGAGTATTAACATAATAACGTTAATTCATACAGTCATTGATGCCAACAAGTACTGATACGAAGACACGGCTGTGTAGTTTTGCTGTTACTTCAACGTTCAAGAATGAAAAATAATAATCAACGAATCTAACCAAGAGCTTTTCATCATATTAAAAATAATATTAAGTTCATAGGTTATTATAGATCATGAAGATAAACTCATGACACTTTACATCAATGGATTAATGTAACTCTATTCCACCATTCAACGACCTCCAGACAAGAGGGAATCACAAACTGAAGGAGCCTGTGATTGTGAATAGTTGGTTGATGGATACGATGAGATAAATTCACTGAAACCTTTCTCACTAGTTGAAAAGTTCAGTCCGGCAGCCGAAATACTGAGCGATGAGAAATCCGGCAGCGCCAAGTCGCCGTCCAAATACA